AGGAAGGCGTGCAAACGCCCAGCACGTGGGCAGGAGGTGGGAACAGGACCCTGCAGGAACTCCACGCGGTTCTGCTGGTAGTGCTGCGTGCATGTGTGCGTGCACGTGTGTGCGTGTATGTCTGTGTGCGTGTGTATGCATGTGTGTGCGCGTGTGTGTGCGTGCATGCGTGCCTGTGTGCATGAGTGCGTGCTGCTGGGTCCCGCAGGCGGGTCCAAGGGTGGCCTGACTGGCTGGTCCAGGACAGCCCCCCAGTGCATAGGCTTGGAAACCGGGTCCTGCCAGGGAGGCTGAGGGGGGAGGGCTGTCCTGGGGGGGGAGAGCAGGGAGGCCTGGACCCTCGGGTGTTAGGGGAGGGCGTGCGCAGGGCACCGGCCCCCCTCAGGCTGCTCTTCAGGAGGGACCGTGTTCGAGGGCGGGTTTGGAGGTTTGGGGCTCCCGTGTCCCTCCCTCTGCCCTGTGGTGCCCTGCGACACCGCTTCAGAGACTCCAGTGTTGGGTGGGGACTTGCATTGACCATCATACGCTGGCTTCTAGCTTTTCTGTCGGCTGCCTCCAGAGACGTTCGTCCCCCGGGGCAGCGGCTGAGCTCACCCCGTTCCTCTCACTCTGCAGAACGGCTACACTCCCCTGCACATCGCCGCCAAGAAGAACCAGACGCAGATCGCGTCCACGCTCCTCAACTACGGGGCCGAGACCAACGTGGTGACCAAGCAGGGCGTGACCCCGCTGCACCTGGCCTCCCAGGAGGGCCACGCGGACATGGTCGCCTCGCTCCTGGACAAGGGCGCCGACATCCACACGTCGACCAAGGTATTCCGCTTTGTCTCTGGTTTCGGCCACAAGCCTTTGGGATGAGTGTACGGAGAAGCCGTCGGTGCGGACGTGGACAGAGCGAGGGGTTGTAAGGAAGGCGGGCCTGTGACGGATTCCAGGGCAGCTGAGGACTGGCCGTGGGGCCGGGAAACCACGGAGCCAGGACAGGCGCACAGATTGTGGTGCGTCCTCGCGCCCTGCCTTTCCCTGTGAGCCCGTTACAGTCCGTCCCTCTGGGAGCTGCCTTCTGTGCCCGTCTGAGTGTGCGGTCACTCCCAGAGGCCCAGGGCTCGGGCCGTCGGTCCACGCTCTGTCCTGCCTGCTCGTTCTGCCTGCAGTCCTAACTCCAAAGCCTGGAGGAAGGTGGCGGTGCCATCTTGGGCCGTCTTCCTGCTGGTCCGTGCCCACTGCCCATGCCCCTCTCCAGCCCTGAGCCTCAGGAGCTCTGTGCACGGGGCAGGGACACCGTGGAACTAAGGTCCTGAGCCCCCTTCGCCTGGCGTGGGTGCTGGTCAGGGAATCGCTGTCTGTGATAAAGCGCCCAGTCATCTCAGCCTTTCCCGGAGAATGGCCTGTGGACACACACAGTCACTGCAAAAGAATAAGAGTCGGGCTCTAGCCGGTTTGGCTCAGTGGATAGTGTTGGCCTGTGAACTGAAGGGTCCCAGGTTCGATTCCAGTCAAGGGCACGAACCTCGGTTTCAGGCTCGATCCCTGCCCTGGTCATAGCATGTGTGGGAGGCAACCAGTCGATGTTTCTCTCTCTCTGTTTCCCCCCCTCCCTTCCATTCTCTCTAAAAATCAATAGGAAAATGTCCTCGGGTGACGATTAACGGCAACAACAAAAATAGAATGAGGGTCAGGGACAGTACATCATTCAGTATGCAAACGTGACTTTTACACGGACACGTTTGCCCCTGCATCTGTTTGTGAACCCCTGTTATCCACCTGTCTGTCTTCACGTGTGTCTAATCCACTGACGCAGCTGCAGCTGTGAAAGTATCTCAGGAATAAGCGAAACCAACGACAAAGTGTCTCATTGCTTTAGGAAAGCACACGACGTCTTTTCCTGTTTTAGACCAGCTGGAGCCAGTAAGTTCACGTTCTCAGGAATAGCCATGGTACAGCATTGATACGCTCTTCCTTGTCCAACCCCCGTGTAGTAACCAACGAACAAGCCCAGCCCTTACACACAAGGCCTGCTCGCTGTGCAGCCGGAGAAAGATCTTCTCTCTGTGCTGTTGGTTCCTGAGGAGCCCGTGGCTGGAGATCACGGGTTTTGGAGACATGGCTTAGCCGCCCTGGCCTCACCTGGCTGTGGAGACAGGCCTGCCGATTTTAACTGGGTGTGCCTTGGCGAGGGCTGCCGGCTCCAGGATGATCCCGCTGCTTCCGTCTGAGCGGGAGAGAGAGACGGAACGGATAGACTGCGCTGAACAGGACGCTATGGGGCAGAAACTGCCCACTGATAGGCTCAATTCCTGGCATGTGAATGGAACTCAAAAAACACCTGTGACACAGACTAGTGATTCAGCTTTTAAAGATGCTCTTTAGCCCGGCCAGTGTGGCTCAGTGGTTGAGCACCGACCTAGGAACCAGGAGCTCACAGTTCAAATCAGGACACCTGCCTGGGTTGTGGGCTCGATCCCCAGTGAGGGGCAAGCAGGAGGCAGCTGATCAGTGATTCGCTCTCATCACTGATGATTCTAGCTCTCTTTTTCTTCCTTCTTCTCTGGAAAAAAAAGTGCTCTTTAAATTTCTATCTTGATGGGAGCTACTTACCCCCATGTGGAGGCTGCCAGATTGTGGCAGAGACTGAATGCGCCTCTCCCCTCCGGCCCCTGGGCCCTGTGCCTGACTGATTGTGAACAGTGCTCCACTGGCATATCCGGTTAAAGCCGTCCCTGGTGCTCACACGCCAGGCATTCTATGTAAAACTGGCCAATTGATGGTGCTGTGTACAAACGATGGGGCCACCTCTTATTTAGCCCCTGGAGGACCCTAGACAGCAGTGCCCTGCCTTCGGGCTGGAGAAAGCCATGCTGAGCTCATTCCTGTAACGACATTTGTGCACCGATGTGCGGATTTATTGAGGGAAAGGCAGACTGTTGCAGTGCTTATCAGGTAGAAGTGGTGGCTGGTGGGCCAGTTAAGTGAATAAATGGACTCAGCCAGAGGCACAGATGGGCTGAAGGGCGTGTTCCTGGGAGCACCTTCGCTGACTTGTTTTAATGTCGCGGGTCATGATGTAAGTGCCCAACAGAGAAAACGATTGGCTGACAGTGTTGGGGAGCAGAGGACCTGCCTTGAGTGGAAAGTGGCCATAACTTAGGGGGTTTGTCTTTAATTTCAAAAGATGTGGTTTCCAGGGAGAAGCTGTAATTGCAGGACTTTTTTCAAGATGGGATATTACAGACTATCAGTGCATCGTCTCCACCATACCTGCCGCCCCATTCTCTCTGCAGAGTGGACTCACGGCCTTGCACCTCGCAGCCCAGGAGGACAAAGTGAACGTCGCTGACATTCTCGTCAGGCACGGGGCGGACCAGGACGCCCACACGAAGGTACAGGCTCCTGTCACTGTGGTGGGTCCCACCCTAGGTGACTCCCAGCCACCACATCGGGGCACCCACGTCCCTGTCCCCCTCCTCACAAGTCCGTCCTGCTCACACACTGGTGGGCCTCCTGCTCCCAGAACCAAGTCCAGATGGAGAGAGGAGTAGAGATCCCAGTGCTGCGCCCACACGGCCTGCTCCCTGCTGCTCAGCCAGGCAGTGACCTGCTTTCTCCTGCACCCACTCCCTCCGTGCCCTTGGCTGACGTGGCTTTACCCTCACTTTGCCATGAACCCCGCATTCCACCTCTGCTGCATTTTCCTGCATCCCCGCCTGGCTGTCTCTGGCCTCATCTCTCCCACCTGTTTTCAGATCCCACCATCTGTGCCCCTGTCTTAGCTCTTTTTCAGGTTAAGTCACATGCATGCTTGGTCTCCTTTGCTGGTGTGAAGTCCTTTGTTCCCAATCTGCTCCCCCGTGTTTGTGTCCACAGGATGCACACCTAAGTAATATCTGTACAGTCAGTCTCACACCCATTAAGTAATAGCTGTGCAGTCAGAGTGTGTCACACCCGCTAAGTAATAACTGTACAGTCAGTGTGTCACACCCACTAAGTAATAGCTGTACAGTTAGAGTGTGTGACACCCACTAAGTAATAACTGTACAGTGTGTCACACCCACTAAGTAATAGCTGTACAGTCAGAGTGTGTCCCACCCGCTAAGTAATAACTGTACAGTCAGGTAGAATGTCTTGCTGGGACTGAAACTCTGCCCCCCCCCCCAAGGTGTAATTAGTGAGTGATCATTTGCTTGTTTATTGTTATTACAGCTCGGTTACACTCCTTTAATTGTGGCCTGTCACTATGGAAATGTGAAAATGGTCAACTTCCTTCTGAAGCACGGAGCCAATGTCAATGCCAAAACCAAGGTAAATGCTGTTCTCCATTTCTTTCACAAAAGTTTCAGCCACGTGGACGCTCCGTGCGCTCACTGTCATACACACGTGCTTTTATGTTAGTTTTTTATAGTGATTCTGAGCACACCATGTAGGTTGTGCAAGGGGCTGAGGCTTTTCGTTCTAATAATCGTAAGAGCCTGTAGGCTGGGCTCAGAGCTGGTGTCAGTTCAGGGAGCTGACGAGCTAGCACCTCAGCCTAGGGCCCTGCTGGGATGCTGCGCCTCCGGTCTTGGCCCTCCCAGCCCTCACCCGAGGAACCACAGATGGGCTGAGACCCAGTGCCTTCCTCTTTTTAAAGGAATCCTCACGAAGGAGTGAGAGAGAAAGAAAACCAGTGAGAGAGAAATACCTGCCGGCTGCCTCCTGCATGCCCTCTACTGGGGATCAAACCCACAACCTGGGCATGTGCCCTGACGGAATTGAAGTGGGGACCTCTTGGTTCATGGGTTGAAGGTCAGCCACGGAGTCACACCGGTCGGATCCCACGTCTGCGTTACACTGAATTCACGGAACCTGTCTGAGGTCACAGAGCAGGAGCAGTGGGATCGGAGCTCAGACCCAGGCGCTGTGTGTGGTGCAGGCCCGGGCTCTTCGCGCTCGCAGGTCTGAAACTCAGCAGCCTCGCTCCTCCCCCTGACCTTAGTCCGTGCTGCCTCCTCCTCCCGCGTGCTCCTGACCCGGACCCAGTCCCCCTCCCGTTCTTCCTAGCCTCCTAGTGTGACCTGACCTAACGTAACCTTCAGGTGACACCCACCCCTCCCTACAGCTCGTCACTGTCCCCAACGCCTAGGACCCCATGCTGCTCATGGCCTTCCCTCTCCTCCCTCAGCTGCTCTCCTCCTCAAGTGGCTAAATCTCACCTCAGCCACCTCCATGATGCTTCCTGCAGAACCTTTTTCCTTTAATCCTCACCCAAGGGCATGTTCTCATCATTCAGAGAGAGAGGCAGGAAGAGGGAGAGAGAGAAACATGGACTGGTTGCCTCCCATCCCTGCCCCGACCGGGAATGGAGCCTCCGTGGCCCTGCTGTGCACAGGACAGTGCTCCAACCAGCGGAGCCCCAGCCGGGCAAACTCAGAGCCTTCCGTCCGACTCCAGCAAGAAGAGCCGCTGCCTGTTCGAGTTCTCCTGAACTTGGCGAACGGCGACTGTAAGCGCTGCCTCACACGGGCGCTAGCGCCACACGGGTTTGCTGGGCCAGCTCCACAGAGCACGTGGGCGGAGCTTCCTGCTGGAGTCAGGGACGCTCGCGCCATGGCAGAGCCTGGCGACGCTCACGCGTGTTGTCACGTGTTGGTTGTTGCGTGGTTATAAGCTGGGAAGCCAGGCGTCCCGCGATGAAGCATTGGCCTCCTGGGGTTTGGTCTGCACTCAAATGGATTTTTGGTTGAGAGAAAATTCTCATTTTAACTTTTCAGTTTTTTTTTGTTTTTTTTGTGTGTTTTTTTTTCATCGATGTCAATTTTATTTGCTTTTGGAAGTAAATGTATCTTATGTGTCTTCAGTGGGTAAACACACACCTTCAGAGGATGTCCTTTTAGCAAACAGGGTTTTTTCACAGAGAATGACATTTTGTAGAAGGAAGTCTTTTTTCATATCTCATGTGTAACCATAGTTACTAAAATGGGTTGCTATGAAAATACAAACAGATATTGACTTTACTACTGAAACTTTCGTGACTTGGTGTAAACATTTGGCAAAGTGAACTTCTTTCATGGAACTGCTCGTCACTTAGAATTAGAATTGAACCCTGTAACAGCAGCTTGAGGCAAACAGGTTGGATTAATTATAGGATAATTTGCAAAGAGAGTTGTGAAGTCCATGTGTAAGGCAAGCATGTCAAACTCAAAGACTAACACGGGCCAAATGAATGAGGCCTGCGGCCTGCGAGTTTGACATGCTGGGTGTAGAGCCTTTGTGAATTAGACTCTAAGGCAGTGATGGCGAACCTTTTGGGCTCGGCGTGTCAGCATTTTGAAAAACCCTAACTTAACTCTGGTGCCGTGTCACATATAGAAATTTTTTGATATTTGCAACCATAGTAAAACAAAGACTTATATTTTTGATATTTATTTTATATATTTAAATGCCATTTAACAAAGAAAAATCAACCAAAAATATGTCATAGGTTCACCATCACTGTTCTAAGGTGAAAAGTCTCAGAGAAAGAAAGACAGTGTTTGCTAGCATTTTCCTGTCACTTCAGAGAAACGAAAGAAAAATGGTGTGGACTGCATATCTGATCCTTCTCAGAATTCGAAGTTTTGGCGTTTTCATTTGTAACGAGAGGTCAGAGGTCAGGGGTGCTGGTTGTGGGGAGAAGTGCTGGTCGGGGGCTCCCAGCAGGATGGGCCTAAGGCGGCGGGTGGAGCTTCAGCCAAATGGTCTGCAAAGCCTGTGAGCTGCCCCGAGCCCCGGGAACACTTCCACGGACGTCTTTCTGGCCGCAGTGCCCACGTAGACCGTGTCCCGCAGTCGGTTCGAGCTGCTGGGGCAAGAACATGGCCGTGGCGGCGTCGACTGGGTAGCACGGGTCTCCTGTGCAGCCCAGGCGTGTCTGCAGGTGCTGCCGGGCCTGGCCAGGTGACGGCTCCGTGGGCACATCTGTGAACATGGTGGGAAGGAGGGATGTTTAGAAGAACTCTCACTTCTTCCAGGCTCCTCGGTGCCCACAGGTGATGTGACGGGAGCAGTGTCTCTGTGACCGTTACGTTTCCCAGGTTCCTGGGTCATTCCCGGGATGCATGGACACGGACACGCTCAGACCGTGGGTCACAGGCGTGGACACAGCCCCCAGACAGAAGGCCACAGTGATGGGGGATGTAGCAGGGACAGCAGGGGGACGTGGAGGGACAGCAGGGGGATGTGGAGGGACAGCAGGGGGACGTGGAGGGACAGCAGGGGACGTGGAGGGACAGCAGGGGGACGTGGAGGGACAGCAGGGGACATGGAGGGACAGCAGGGGGACGTGGAGGGACAGCAGGGGGGACGTGCAGGGACCGCAGGGGGACGTGCAGGGACAGCAGGGGGACGTGCAGGGACAGCAGGGGGACGTGGAGGGACAGCAGGGGACATGGAGGGACAGCAGGGGGACCTGGCGTCCTGTGTGCACAGTAGACACATGCAGATGGAGAAGCGTGTTGCGTGCTGGTCGCGAAGCAGCTGTGACACCATATCGCAGGGACAGACGCTCTGGCAGGTTCATGGTTGACGGCTACGCAGCACACAGAGCACAGGGTGGATCTGATAGACGTGGAAGCTTCTGTCGGGCGAGGCCAGCGGATAAGGGTAGCGCAGCTCTGGCTGCCATGACCTTCTCCACGGGCCTGGCTGTGGCGTGGCCGTGAAGGAACTCCTTCCCCCCGTTCCCAGTTGTGTCCCCCGACACGGGGCTGTCCCTTACTCTGCCCGCTTCCCTGCACCGGCACGTCCAGAGCCGGGCGGCCCTGCTCACCTCACGGCTCCTCCTCACTTCCTTGGAGGCGAGCCCGGCCAGGTGGGGACAGGACCAAAATGTAAAGACCGTGGGTCAGAGTGGGCCTCCCACGACCCCCCTCAGGGGAAGGAACTTCCAGACCGAGGTCCGGAGAGTGAGCCCTGAGTGACCCGTGGGGAAGCCGCCCGGGCCGGGCACAGTGGCGGTGACACCTGCAGCTCTCGGCCGTCTCCTCGCCACCGCTGCTCCCCCGTGGTGGCCGGGCTCACGTTTCCATGCTCACGGCTCAGAACAGTGTCGGAGATGCCCGTCGCCTGTCTCCCTTTATTCACGGGGCAGGAGGTGTGCGGGCGTGTGTGCTGCTGGGAGCGGGCTCCTGGGGCGGCCGCCCCCATACACAGCATTGTCCTAAGTAAGATGGCCTTGAACGCAGACTGACCGGCTTCTCCTCCTCCTCCCTCTTTGTCCCCCCCCCCCCCCCGGGGCACGCCCCTGCACCAGGCCGCACAGCAGGGCCACACACATATCATCAATGTGCTGCTGCAGCATGGGGCGAGGCCCGATGCCACCACCACGGTAAGGCCCCCCGCACCCCGGTCCCTCTGCCACGGCCAACGCCAGGGGTGGGGGGGACCCTCTGTTAGTGCTGCTGAGTCACCTCTGACTCCCGGGGACCCGTGAATGGTGCTGCCCGATGCCCAGCTCACCGCCCTGCGCAGCCTGGAGGCTCAGCCTGTGGCTCTTCCGTGAGCCCCTCCACCTCCTGTTTGGGCTCCTCTTCTCCTGCTGCCTCTGTTCCCAGCATCGTTGTCTTTTCCAAAGCCCCGCCTCCTCACGAGGTGTCCGGGGTAGGACAGCGTCCGTGTGTCACCTGCCCCAGCCGTGCTCAGGCTGAGCAGAACAGGGTGCCGCAGTCCCCACCCCTCCTGAGATGGGCCCCCACCCTCAGGCCCCAGCTCTGGGGTAGCCTCGGTGCGGCTGGGGTATAGTGGACTGGGCTCGGGGGCTGGAGGCTGGGCCCAAGGCTTCCTCTGGCTCAGACAGGCTCCTGGGACAAGGGGCCATTAAGATGTAAACGAGGTGGTGTGATTCACCCTGGCTCCCCAGGCCTGCGCAGGGGCCTGCTGTTTGCTGTGGTGTCTGCGCACAGGGACTGTGCTGAGGCGGCCTGCCCTCCCGGAACTGGCCTGTCCTGGGGAAGGCGGGCCCTCAGCCAGGCTGGGTCTGGAGGCCTCCCTTTCCCAGCACCATCCAGCCCCCAGAGCTGACCACCCAGGGGTTAAAGCCGCAAGTGCTTCTCGTTAGGAGGAGGGGCAGATGCAGCTTGTTGTGTTTCCATGGTGACCCGCTCTCCAGGCTGGAGAAGTTACCAAGACACATTCAGATGTGATGGTGAAAACGAGTTGGAGGAGGCGCTGGCTCCTGGGGCGGTGAGCTCACTGGCTCCATTCTCTCTCTCTCCCTCTCCCTCTCTCCCCCTCCCTCCCTCTCTCTGAAATCAACACACACACACACACACACACACACACACACACACACGTATTAAAAAAAGAGCCCTGGCCATCGCTAAGCGGCTGGGCTACATCTCGGTGGTCGACACCCTGAAGGTTGTGACGGAGGAGGTCACCACCACCACGACAGTGAGTAAGGGGCCCAGGGCTTCTGCTTGAGCCCAGCTTTCCCGTCGCGCCCTCTCCCCTCACCCCACGTCCTGCGCCGCAGCCTCAACTTCTGGGGGTGAATCTGGGCAGCACGGAGGGCCACAGCGGGAGGGCACGCACAGGCAGCGGCCGAGCTCCTGCGTCTTGCACATCCCGGTGGAGTGTGTGAGTGTGAGTTCACAGGGCCTAGTTGTTTTTCCCTGCTCCTCTGCCCTCGAGCTGAGGTTGGGTGTGACCTCAGCTGCCAGCCGAGGGGCAGGACAGTCCTGGCAAACTTCTCATTTGAGCAGAGGACGCAGCCCCGGGAAGGCCCTGGTCCCTGCTGTGCTCACGGCTGGTCTGAAGGTTCCCCGGAGACCCGTTCTGCCCCACGTCCTCTCTGTCTCTGACTATGTTTTATTCAAAAAGAGTTGAGTGCGCTTAGTAGGGAAACAGTCTGTTAGGGCAGGGTGCATGGCCTCTGCCCACAGGGCTGGGGGACTCAGAGCGGGACCAGGGTCCTGGGGCTGGGGCCTGCGGAGCAGAGCGGGGTGCCTCCCAGGGCTGTTCTCTTTGCATCGACTTGTTGGTGACTTTTCTGAAGCTGCAGACAACAGCTCGGTGGCTTGTTTGGAAAGTGGATAAGTGGACAGTAGAGCACTGGGCCCTGCGGTCAAACCTCGGCCAATACGAACACTGAAGGAGGTTCCAGCAACAGCCCAAGCGCAGACGGTGGGTCAGGTGGGAGGTGGGAGGAAGGAGTGTGTTCCCGGGGCGACAGCAGCCCCGTGACACAGCAGTGGGTGAGCACAGCTGCTGGGACCTGTCCTGTGTGGGGGAAGTCGGGTTTATTTCTGGACGCGAGGCGATGTCGCAGACGCAGAGGGTCATGCCACTTGTTTTCTCAGGCAGTTTTAAAGCCTGTGCCCCTGTGCCACAGTATTTTTAAAGAATTTTTTAATCCTCACCTGAGGATATGATTTCATTGACTTTAGAGAAAGGGGAAGAGAGAGGGAGGGAATCGTGGATGTGAGAGAGACATCGATCAGTTGCCTCCCATATACATCCTGACCAGGGACAAACCTGCAACCTGTGTGCCCTGCCTGGGAATCGAACCCACAACCTTTTGGGGTACTGGAGGAGGCTCCAACTGACTGAGCTACCTGGCCGGGCTATTTTTAAACGTTCAAAGTGAAGTTTCTTCAAGAAATTACGTAGGAGAAACACAGGCCCGTTTCTGCTCACACTCACCCTGAGTCACTGCGAGGTGAATCGTAGTGGCCGTCCTTGCTCCCTGCCTTCTCAGACCCGGAGCGTCTCCCTCCGCAGTGGGGAGAGTTTTGTCCTGTTTGGCACCTTTGAAGCAACGTGGGCATCCCAGGTGGCCAAGCACGTCTGTTCTTACGACTCCTTTTCTGGGCACTTGGGCCGTGTGTGCATCTTATCAGGTTCCAGCGAGGGGTGCGCTTGCATCCTTTTCTGTATCTTGTGCTTTTTTCCCTTCCATTCGCCTCATTAATCCACCTGAAGGGTTTCTGGGTAGAAACCAGTGCTGAGGAGTGGTCAGCGGTGAAGACATCACCTCCCCCAGCAGCAGCTCCACATGGTGGCCTGGAGGGTGGCACATGGGTTCTTTAAGGAAAAAAATTCTTCTTTAGCTCAACAAAACGGTGGGTCAGATGTGTCCATTGTTAGAGATGGCAGCTCTGTCACTTAGAGTGAGAGACCCACGCTACACAGGCCACGTTTATCACGAGGTAGTCAGCGTTCTAAACACTGGCCACAGGTTCTCAGACACACGGCCAGTCCCCACACCCAGCTCGGAGGGCTCAGCACCCTGTGAGCCAGAGACACGGCCAGTCCCCACCCCCAGCTCGGGGGCACGAAAGCCTCAGAATCCTGTGGGCTGTGTTTCTCCTCTGTGACTGCTGTTCTCACGCTGCCGAGCTGAGCGCTGCCCCAGCAGAACCACCGGACCCTGCAGGTGAGAAGCCCCTGACAGATACAAGGCCCCTGGCATGCGCTGCAGCGGGGTCAGCGGGGTCAGCGGGGAAGGGTCTCCCTGGCCGCGTGGTCTAATGCAGCGGCTGCCAACCGGTGGTCTGTGGATCACTGCTGGTCCGTGAGGCCCGAAAGGGTGGCGACCGCTGATGCGCCTGTGTTCCTCCTGCCTCTCACGTCAGTTCTTCTCTCGTGGGTGCAAGTCTGTTGTTTTCTGAAATGGAATCGGGGTTAAGCGTTGAAAAATGAACGTACTCCTCTCTGTTACGCGAGTCTTGCGCGTCTGCTCTTGGGGACGAGATTTTCATTCCTTCCTCCGCACAGCAGTGTCATCGATGACGCTAACACGCAACAAAGCTCCGGAGCTGCAGGGGTGCGTCTAGGGTTCAAGTTGAGTTTGTTGGATCCCGAAGCCCATGCTCTTAACCCTCCGGCATCACAGAGCTTGGCTCTGCTAAAAGGAGCTTCGCAGGAATGTTGCGAAAGAAAATTTTTCACCTAATTTTCAATTTAAGAAAAACCCTCTTACCTGGACCCTTTGTGTATGTTCACGGAAGCATCATGTTCAGTATCATTTCCGAAAGTCCACAGACTCACTAAAATAACAGCCATTCACCATGACAGGCAAACAGCACAGACAACTTAATAATTATGTAAAATTAAATTAAATTAAATTTTACGCTGTCACCTCTTCAATGGAAGAGTTGACCGACAGCTGCACAGCCGACAGACATCGCCTCGGATTCGTAGGACGTGCCCTGGAGCAGCCACGTGGGTGTCTGAGCTGCGCCCCCTCCGAGGTCTTCCCCCAAAGCCCTTGTGCAGGGAGAGGCGTCGGGCAGCCGCTGGGGAAGGAGAAGTCGCGGCTGCACACGTGGCGGAGGCGTTTGGAATCATGGCTGTTTCCCTAACCTTTGCTCCGTGAGGCGCCGGGGCAGGGGCAGCTCGCCCCGGTGGTCACTGTGCGGGAAGGGGCGTTGGGACGGGGGGGCCCCCGTTTCTGGCGGTGGAGCAGGAGGCAGTCTCCCGAGGCTGCTGGGAGAGCCGTGAGATGCAACCCAGGCGGCCCCTATGGATCAGCTGTCAATTCTACGTATTATTTGCATAATTTTAAAGTGACCCACCCTCTTTTATGCTGTGTGTAACCACTGATAGGCAGCGCCTAAAGCACGGAATAAGCCGCCGCCATGAAATGGCGTCGTGTTGTCGTTTGAATGCTGGGGAATTCTTTGGCAGCCGTTAAGAAGATGCCAGTGTTCCGAGTTCCACCTCTTCCCCAGCGGGAGCGGGATCGCCGCCGCCGATGCTGTGATGCCTGTCCCCCAGCGACAGCCTTCGAGGCGGAGTCGGGCATTTCCTGGGAATCTAGTCCGTTGCCCAGAAGGCTTGGTGTCCGTCTGCACGAGGAGCGTCACTCTGCACTCTGCTGTGTGTGCCCCCCGGAACACCCACATCTGTGACGCTTGCTTATCCCGTGTGCCATTATCTTAAAGAGACAGGACGCTGAGAACAGAACCTTCTAAACTTTTCACATAATTTTTCCAGGTTAATAACATCTGTGTAGCGAAGCTTAAAGCCCTACACAACCTGCTTCCTGTGTCTCAGTGGCTTTTGGTGAAGACTCTACTCTCATTTCGAGATTCATTATTTTAAACTTCCCGTAACGATGCCAGTGGATGTCTGAAACAGCTCCTGGCCCACAGTGGCCACTCTGCTTCCCTGGTGCCTGGGTGACCAAACGCCCAGGCTCTCCAGCGTTCGATACCTTAGTACCGAGTTACAGTAGAACAGCTCATGCCAGCGGGTGTGTAGTGAGCACCGACGTATGCCAGCCACTCTTCTCAGGGCTCCTGTATGTATTATCTCATCTGATCTTCATAACAACTTGGGAGCAGTGTTGTTACCACTGTTCACAGATGAAGAAATGGAGGCCTGGAGAAGCAAGGGCCTAGCAAGGCCTCACAGCTGACAGGGGAAGTTCACATTGGAGCCTGGTCCTCCCCCCGCAGCTGGGAGCTGGGAGCGTGGCCGGGAGGCTGACCAGCCACACACAGGCCAGGGCGCGAAGAGGGGACCAGCGTCCCCCCTCTGGGCCCAGAAGACCCGTTTTCTGCCCAGACAACCTACGTCTTTCACATGGTTTACCCCGTCTTTTCCCCTGGCTTGGTTTTTAATAAATTGCATATGTTCATTGCTCCTCTAAGGCTTTTCTGGAGTTCAGTTCAGGGAGGCCCTGAGCACGGTGAGCCGCCTGCTCCGTACGATTGGCCGTCTGTGCCACTGGGAACGAGTTGGCTGTTCAAGTGGGAACTCGCAGCAGCGGGCTTTCTCTGGTGCCGCCTCGCGGGTCCGTGGCCTTTTGTCCTCGGGAGGACGTGGGTTTTCATGAGAGAAAACCAGAGAAAGAACTTCAGACAGACAGGCCTTGGGCCGACGCGGAGTCTGGCTCCCCTGGCTCCCCTGGCTCCTGGCGTCGGCTGGGAGTTTGTTTTCAGGCACGAATGCTCTTTCTCTTCGCAGACTATCACTGAGAAGCACAAGCTGAACGTTCCCGAGACCATGACCGAGGTGCTGGACGTCTCTGACGAAGAGGGTGAGGCTTTCTCTGCGTTCTCTGGGGCCTCTGTCCTGGTCCCGCGGGAAGCTGGCCCGTCTTCGGGGACAGCCGGGCAGTGGGTGTGGGCGCCAGCGGCTTCACTAGAAAGTCATGTGTTCACCTTGGTTACATTGACGTTTGCCATTTGGGGAAGGAGGATCCATTAGTCTATTTTCAACTGGTGTTAGCCTTTTTGTCTTGTAAGTAGCCGGCCTGGGAAGGGGAGAGGCTGGGAACTGGGCCATCTGTGAACATACCTGCCTGATAGGACAATTGTTAGCATATGGGGAGGAGGGTTGTTTGTTTGTTTTGTGTGGTTTTTTTAAATAGATTTTTATTGGTTTCAGAGGGAAAGGGAGAAGGAGAGAAATAGAAACATCAACAAGGAGAGAGGATCATTGATTGGCTGCCTCCGCATTCATATGTGTGCACCACCCTGGGTTTTGTGGGGTCACTTTTTTTCATTCATATCTTGAACAGCTCTTAAGCAGTCTGGTGACCACGTTATTGATGGGGAAGTACTTAGTGACTCAGGTACCTTCAGAGGAAACTATTGGAGTGAAAGCTTTTCTTTGCTTTTAATTTTTCTTAACTGCATAGAAGCAACGTGCTTAATATTTAAATCTGGGTGCCTAACACTAACTGTTCCTTTTGAAACAGCATGTATAATACAAGTGAGGTGGTGTGAGACGGGGCAGGGGTGTGAGACGGGGAGGGGGTGTGAGACAGGTGAGGGGCTGTGAAACGGGTGAGAATAGTGTGAGACGGGGAGGGGGTGTGAGACGGGTGAGGAGGTGTGACATGGGTGAGATGGTTGTGTGATACAGGTGAGATTGTGCACTTGAGTGTGGATTTTACTAACTTGTAAGGTTAAAGCCATGATTTGCTTCTGCTATATTAATGATTTTGCAACTATCATTGAGACTTACTAACATAGTTAAATTATCTAGTGACCTCTATGAGTATTTTCTCCAAAGTAATATTTCTTCTTAGAATACAGATTTAGAGAAACAGTAAGTCTTTGATAAGTTGACATTGAGCTAGCAACAACTGAGTTAGTTTGCTTGGCGTGAACGTAGGTTAAATCGTTGGTGAAGGTACGGTTTGATGTGGTGAATGTGTTAGGTGAGGAGTGACATGCCATCCTAAGGCAGCTAGGACTGGGTGTAGATGACTTTCAGCCACTTTGAAGGGACCGCAGGGCACAGCGTCTTCTATGCGACAGACCGCCTTCCCTGGCCCCTTCCCTTCATCAGGAGAGCAGACCAAGTCTTCCCACATGTTAACAAACTCACACACGTTTCTCTGAAAACCACTGAGGCTTCTTTCCAAACCAGACAACACCTGTGTTTAGGGAAGCTAATGCTTAGAGCGGATCCTGGAATCTTTTTCTCCCAATTTACTTGACTCACAAAAGCACTGCTAGTCACGATTTACACGTTAAGAAGGGGACAGTGGGGCAGATGCGGCTGCGGCCTGTCATGAATGTCTGAGCCGCTCCACCTGTCACTGCGCGCAGACCCCGGCTTCCTTCCTTGGCCGCCTCGCTCACCAGCACAAGTGTGTCCTCTCGCCCAGTTATTCCACACAGCACCCTCAAAGGACTCGTGTTCCTCTTGCGCTCACACCATTCTGGGCCCCTGACCCTCACGCACGCTTCTCACCAGAACCCCCACCACGCCTGCCACCAGAGCTGCCCCAGACAAGCTTCGCTGGAACCTTCGAAGGGACCACAACAGACGAGCACCAGCTTGGTGGCTCGTATTTACCGCCCCTGCTCTGGGGGCCGGCGCCCTCGGGGGCCTCTCCGCTTCGGTGGCTGCAGCGACCCTGAGCCCTGGCCCTGAGCCCTGCGGCTGGC